ATTGTGTAAAGCGCATTTGTACATCGTTTCTCAAAACATTTTCTCTCCATTTAAAGCCCCGACATTAGGTCCTCAATACCCTTCTTTGACAATAGAAACCTGTTTCTTATTATCCACAACATATTTACTGTACACAATCCTAGAACACATTAAATAGTTTGAAAATTGCTAACTTATTCCTTCATTGAACCAAACTTACTGCCATCAAGTCATTTCTGACACATTGTGATCCTATAGGACAAACTGGAACTGACCCTATGGGTTTCTGAGGCTGCAAATCTTTATGGGTTTAGAAAGCCTCATCTTTTTCTTGCAGAGTGGCTGTGGTTTCAAACTGTTAATCTTGTGGTTAACATCCCAACGTGAACTCACCACCACCAGTGGTCCCTTGAAAATGTGCCTACTTATTGAATTTGATATTTGTCTATAGTCCTTTTTTGTCTTTATTATGAGGTGATGCAGTAATACTGTTTTAAGTTTATTTGAATTGTAATAAGATTATTAAATATTTTTTCTCTTTATATTTCAGTTAGGATTTGTTTATTTTTGTATTTGTTTATTTGCTTACTGAAGCATAACATTGTTTTAAATATATAATCTATACAAAATGTGAATACTCAAAACTGGTATTACTTCTCTATCTTCTTTAGACCATTTTTATATCCCCAACCTCTCCTATTTATACCATCTGTGAATTTGTTTGAGTAGTTTTCCAAGGGATGTAATAGGGCTGGAAAGCATTGCCCTGGAGAAGTTGGATGTTCAAATCCAACAGTCTTTCCTTTGGAGGAAGATGAGACAGTCTGCTTTGATAAAGACTCGGAAACCCAGTGGAGTAATTCTGCTCTGTCCTATAAGGTCACGGAGTCAGAATTGATGACTGGCTTTTGTGTTTCTATGATTAGATATGTATATAGTTCCTTCTTTCCTGTTCTTATATGAAAGCAGCGTACTACATATGCTTTTTAATATTTTCTTTGCATAATTTTGTAGTCTGGAAATCACTCCTTATCAGTTCACAGATCCCTTCCTCAATTTTTACAACTAAACATTACTCCTTCATATGAATATATTATGTTTGTAGCCGGAAACCTTCGTGTGTACCATCCCTGGGGAAATGTAAACTATTTCCAATGAATCTTGATCCCTTTTATACTCTGATCATCCTAAAATCCTGTTAATTGCCACCTTAGCCTTTTGTAAATCTTATTTCTCTTCACATAATTTAGGGTATATAACTGGCTAGACTAGTACTATACTCTAACAGTCTGAATAGTGAAGCCTGGCTGTTTTCTTTCTGTCAGTGTTTGCAGGAATACATATCTCAAATCAAACTGGTCTCTTTTTTTGCTGGCAACAATTGTTGTTGGCAACAATTTTGCATATATATTTTATTTTGTTGGAAGTGTATCTTAGGGGAAATTCTTAAAAGTGGGATTGGTTTTGGTTTTGTTATACACTTCCAAATTCATCTTCAAAATTACTGTAGCAATTTGTATTCTCACCATCAATGTGTGAGAGAGGTTTGCCAATGGATTATATTACTGCACTTTTAATTTTGTCAATTGGATTAAAGAATAGAATCTTATTATAATTTTATTTTGCATTTATATATGCCATTGAATAGATTTTTATTTGCTTAAGGCCCAATTTTATATTACCATTGTCTCTTTTTTCCAATGGACTTTTAGTCCTTTTTCTCCACTATTAAAGGTTTTTCATTTTTTAATTTGCGATATTAGGCTATTATCTGTGATACAAAGTGCAAACATTCACTCCCATTGTTTGTTTGTCTTGGAGTTCATTTATGATATTTTTGGCTGTGCAAAATTTTTATTTTTATGGAATAAAATTTGTGTCTGGATTTTGAGGGACTTATCTTCTAATACATGAATGGTTTGACTTAAAAGTTTGCCTGCTTACTGAAAGGTGAGCAGTTTGAACATACCAGCTACTCCATGGGATAAAAATGATACAGTCTATTTCTGTAGCATCAGAAACTCTATGGGATTGCTCTGTGCTTTCCATACACACTAAGAGTCTGAATCAACTGATGGCAGTGGCTTTAGTTTTTCTTTACCATATATACTTGAATATAAGCCGACCTGAATATCAGCTGAGGCACCTAATTTTACCACAAAAACTGCATTAAAAATGTGCTGAAAAACTTGGCTTAGACACTGAGTATATATGGTATTTTCTATTTTGAGTTTATTTTCTTTTCACTCTAAGTTATGGATCCAATTGCATCCCTTTTGAAATGTATGTAATTCTCCCAGCATTATTTATTTTTTGAAAAAAAACACAAAATTTTTGCTTTACCAATTTGAGATAGTTAAGTTTAGTTTTAATTTTCAGTGATTTGGTATTATAGCTTCTTTTTCTTATTGGGAAATAAAAGTTTATTACCTAGTAATCTGCCATGGTGTAACCTAACACAATGTAATTAAACCCTAATGAGATTGGCTGTGAGGAGAGTGGGATATAATACCTTATACAGATTACAGCTCTAATGCAAGTTTTCTCAATGGTGTGACCTACTTCCAATAGAAATGAACAATGGCAATAATTTGCTTGCTTTTTGCTCGGTCTGGTACCCGCGTCTGGCTTATTGACCTGTTTCTTCGCACTTGAATCAGTGGCCCACCATCTTGTCTGCCAATCCTGGGAGATGTCATCGGCCTTCCATCTGATCTAGCAACCTTGGTTTCAATACGCATGACATCTACAAGTCTGTTGTCTTCCTGCCGATCTTGGGTTCCTTAGTCCCCACAGCTTCACAGTCAGGAGAAGCCTCCAGCCTAACTTCTGACCTAGGGACTTGGAACTCCACTGTTTGCATTAAGTTATCTCCTGTGGCAATATTTAATACTTCTGTTTGCTTTAGTTACTGTGGAATTGATTCCCACTCATGGGGGCCCTTCGTACGTAGAGTAGAACTGCTCCACAGGGCTTTCGAGGCTGTGACCTTTCAGAAGTATTAACAGTCAAGCCTGCGTTCTGAGGCAGTGGGTTCAAACAACCAATTAGAAGTCTAGTGCTTTACTGTTTGCACCATCATGGATTCCTTTGATTACTATAAGGAATAAGTATTTATTATAAAGTTCCTTTAGGGAAAAAATGGATTTTTAGAGTATTAATACTTACCTTCATTTTCTTTTTTAGGGGTTAAAGTTGCACTCTCATCTTTTTGTAATTGAAATCTTTGCATATCAGGTATTATAGATTCTTTTTCCTATTGGGAAATAGAAGTTTATTACCAGGTGAGATAAGTTGCTGTTTCTGAAGGGTCATCCATCCTGGCATTCTTGCATTGAACGATCATAATTATACACATGAAAATAAGCCTTAATATAAGGGGAGGAAATATTAAAGAACCAAATGATAGTTATGTGTTTCATCAGTGCTATACCATACCCTGAATTCCTCATCCCCCCTGGTTTTCCCCCAACTGTGGCCCCTCTGTGAGGGCCTGTCCAATTGTCTTGCAGGTGGGTTTTGGGTCTCCACTTTATTCACTCTCCTTCACATCAAGTTGATTGTTTGTTTTTGAACTTCTGATACCTATTCCCATTGGCACCTCATGATCACACAGGTTGGTATGATTTTTCCACGTGGGCTTTGTTGTTTCCCTGCTTGATGGCTGCTTGTTTAACTACAAGCCTTTAAGACACCAGAGGCTATACTTTTTAATAGCCAGACACCATCAACTTTCTTCACCACATTTGCTTATGCACCCATTTTTTCTTCAGTGGTCATGTAGGGAAGGAGAGTATCATACAGTGCTACAGGGATTGCATTTATTGTCTCAGGGTTACTAGTGGTATTTATTGTAGATTCCTATAGGATTACATAAATAACTTTATTTAATCAATCATTAGAATATTTAAGAACAATTTTGTTTTGTTTTGATTAAATCTCTTAATAGCTGAACTCACTGCTTAGTAAGCATGGAGCATATTGAAAGTGAAAATGAGCTAGGAGGAAATTCTTTGAATTGAACTGAAACTTTTTTTAAGTCGAACATGTGAAATTAGATCCTATCTTTGTGTAGAGTAGCTCTTTTAGCTTTTTCTATTCTTGTCTGAAACGAAATTCTTGTCACAGATTCTACCATTTTATGTAGGATCAGTTCAAATACGACTTGCAATGAATTGAATAATATTTTATCTCTTTTGGTGACTCTTTGAATTGACTGGTTGCCTCCATTATGTTTTAAATTCTTTTTATGATTGGGAGTTCTTTTTAAATAATATGTTTTCCGTGAAGGTGTGCTGCCATGAGTGGAGTCCCATTCAACAATTTCTACACAAATTGTTCAGTTGGTTATATTCTTCCCAATTGGTGAATATTCTTCATATTCCATTCTTCTTATTCCATTCTTTGGAGCTCTTTTTTTTAAAAAATCATTTTATTGGGGGCTTGAACAATTCTTATCACAATCCATACATACATCCATTGTGTCAAGCACATTTGTACATTTGTTGCCAGCATCATTCTCAAAACATTTGCTTTCTACTTGAGCCCTTAATATCACCTCATGAACCCTTCACAATTCATAAATTATTATTTGTCATATCTTACACTGTCCGACGTCTTCCTTCACCCACTTCTCTGCTGTTCATCCCCCAGGGAGGAGGTTATATGTAGATCCTTGTAATCAGTTCCTCCTTTCTACCCCACCTTCCCTCCACCCTCTAGGTATTGCCACTGGTACCACTGGTCCTGAAGGGGTCATCTGTCCTGGATTCCCTGTGTTTCCAGTTCCTATCTGTACCAATGTTATCGCAACCTGCTTCACTCCACTGATGAACCTATGCTATTAATGCTGAGGAATTGAAGCCCTTAATCTTTACCTTCACCCTTTGCTATTCTAGAAAAGTACATTTTCTGACACGATATGAAAATTTATTGGGTGGTGTTTATTATTTATATCTTTTGTAAGCATATTTTCCCTTTTATTAACAAGTCTTGACACTGCCCTTAGCCCTCATTGTTCCACATATGTTCTAATTAAACGTATCTTCTTCCACTCTTCATTTTTATGTGAAATTTCATAGACTGCTACTTCACTTAATCATTACACCATGGGGCTGGTGTCACTACTTCACTTAAAAAAAATACCTTAATCTATATTTAGATCAGAATAAAGAAACTTCTAATAGCCTTTGAAAAGGAAAAACAGCTGAATAAATCATGCCTATGCTTACTACATTTTAGAGACCAGAGAATTATTGAAGTGTCTTTGTAATTGGTTAAAAGAATCAAATCTTGTTTACAATAGCCTATATTTTTATTGAAGCTATAACTAGTTATATCTATATTTGAAGCTATAACTAGTTATATATAGAGCTCTGGTGGCTTAGTGGCTTAAAGTGTCGATGATTCAAACCCATTAGCCATTCCTTGGGAGAAAGTTAGGCTGTCTGTTTCCATAAAGATTTAGAATCTCAGAAACCCCAGAGAGCTGTTCTACTTCATTCTCTAGGGTTGCTATGACTTTGAACCAATTCAATAATATTTTGTTTTTTAGTGGGTTTCGGATAATGGGTAAAAATTGCACTAGTATGTTAAGTAACGCCATTGAAAGAAACCGCTGTTAATGTTTGTTCATTGTATACTTCATAAAAAAGAAAAAAGCAAACCAATTGCAATGATTGACATATAAACCCCATCACCACTACCCAGGAGTTTAACAACAGAAGGGAGACAGTGATCGGTGTAAGACATGAGAACAATAATAATTTATAAGTTATCAAGGGGTCGGGATGGGCACAGGGAACAAAAGAGGAGCTGATACCAAGGGCTTAGTAGAAAGTAAATGTTTAGAAAATGTTGATGATAACATATGTACAAATATGCTTGAAACAATCGATGTATGGAATATTATAAGAGCTATAAGAGCCCTCAACAAAATGATTAAAAAATAAGAAAAATGCAATTATAACATCAATCTCAATATCTGTTATCATACTTATAGTGTAACTGAGTAGACAACAGATTCTTATATGCCACATCAACTTTCTCCTACCCAGCCTTAATTTCTATGTGTCAAAAAAAGTCTAAATAACTACTTATTCTACAAAGGAAGTAGCATAATTAATATGGTATAAAAGTTATCTTACAGCAGCGGTTCTCAATCCGTGGGTCGTGACCCTTTTGGGGTCGAATGACCCTTTCACAGGGGTTACCCGATTCATAACAGTAGAAAATTACAGTTATGAAGTAGCAAGGAAAATAATTTTATGATTGGGGGGTCAGCACAACATGAGGAATTATATTAAGGGGTCACAGCATTGAGAACCATTGTCTTACAGAATATTAACTTGATGACAATTACTTGGTACAGAGTGATAAAGGCTTTAAATTCTTGAAAGTGATTTTTAAAGAAAATGCTTTATTAAATAGTCTTTCATTTTTTGGCACTGTGTAATTGGCATATGTAAATTATTATGAAATACCATAGAAACCACAACAACCAGTACTCTTCTATGTATTTTCTTGGATCATTTTATACTTAAAATAATGAACTCATAACCCATTTTTATTTCTCCTAATTTATTTTTGAGCCAATGTAATACACAAGTATATGGCACTTTGTAACTCAATTTAGCACATAAATCTTAATGGGCCAGGGATCATATTAAAGTCTAGATTTCCTAAAGTGTTATTTTGTTGTTCTTGCTATTCTATATTCTGTTTGGCTATCATAGATGTTGTTTTCTAATTTGGGAGGCATGCATACTTATATAAGTGTAATTATAGGAACAATTTCTTGAGAATAATTTAAAATACACCTTTATCACCGTACTTTATTAGACAACACACTTTAAGAAAAACAAAAACATTCATTTAACTACTATTTTAAAAGTTGTATTTGGAGTAGAAATAAAGTACCTTAATATTTTTCCCATCCAGGTATTTATCCTCATAATCACGGTTAAGTATGGTTTCTTCGAAGTTATCTGTTCCGTAGTCATAGATAATGTGTAAGTCTTGCCGAGTTTGGGGTGCTGGCTTTATCAGAGGCACAAACAGTAGCAGAAGTAATGTGGACTGCAGACGCTTCATTTTAGCAAATATCAAGGTGACTGGACGTTGGTTACTAGTGACCTGTGGATAAATATTCTCTTTTTCCCTGGAAATAAAAATGCAGACCATCGAAACAATACTTAAAGCCTACAGGACTTTTTGGCAGGATTTTAGCATTAGGAGCCAGAGACCAACTATTTAACTCTTGGTTATCTTTAATTAGATGCTAGTATTTTTATTTATCAGTGTATATTATAAAAAAAATAGTTTAAGAAAATAGCTGTATTTCTTCTGTATTGAAAATTTCAAGTAACATTTATAATCGCAGTTTTCCTCATAATTAACTGCAGTGAAGAGATAACATATTTGCAATGGGAATCTTCTTAGGATACCTGTAATATAAATAGTTAAAAATGGAGACTCAAGGTTCTGTCTCATGTGAGTTAGATATCATATTTCAACTTTGTTATTTTAAAAGAATTCTTAATTCCCATGGATATAAACAGAAATAAGCTTTAAGAATAGTTTCAAAACTTAAATTTCAACTTTAATATCAGGATAGGTTGTCATTTACACTTACTTTTTAGGTTATATAGAATAAAAGAAAATCTATATCTTAATCATTTTCAGTTTTATAATTTTAATGAGTTTCACTGTATTATTTTAATAAGTTAGTATATTTAAAGGTTTAAGTTGAAAAAATGCAAAAAAACATAATTGTGTACTACAGGAAATAAAGCTTTACTTAAGGAACTGTGAAGAAGTAATGGAAAATATTCTTTTAGGTTTACTAGTGGATTTTATTTGGTTGGTGCACATTTTTGGCTTTTTAAAAAGCAACTTCAGGCAAAATTGCTTTGAGTTGCTGATGTAGCATTCTAGATGCCAATTTGTAAAACATCTAGTTTTTTGAATATTAAGAATAAAATGGTTCTATGGCTTGCAAGCACCCTATTCTTGTCTAATTGTTCTTTAAGTAATCTAAAAGTATTTAAGTACTCTTCATACAAAAGTTTTTAAAAATTCTTTTTTCGAGGCAGCTGCAACTTAAAAAGACTAAAGAGATGAATGTTACATTTATATAGAATACTAGATGAGTCATACTTTAAATAACAACATTTAAAATAATTTGTGAATAAAGAGCCTACCGTTTTCGCTGTTTTGAAGATTTTTGTGTGTGGTTTTCTTCAATAAATGTTCATGCCTGCGCTTTTGCTCTAAGTGGGAGGGTGAATGAGGAAAGCTGTGGATTGATTTCAACTGCTGAATAAAAGTTTAGGACCCAAATCTTTAAAAGTTGTTTCCATGTGTTAGAGATCTTTGCCAACATTCTTTCTCTGGGATGAAATGTAATATATTGTACTAGGGCTCTGTTTTAAAAATATTTGTAAGTGCTGTATTATGTGCTTCTACTATTTACTGTACTTTCATTTTAGTTTTTAAACTTTACATAAGAAATGCTAATGTTTTAGTGAATATTAATTCATGAGGAGGAAATAGTTTTAATATTGTCTTTTTCGTTTTAATGCTTTCTTAAGATATGTTATTTTTAGTGAAATAGTATACCAAACCATAGTCTGCAGTCTTAATTTTATGATGTGCAAAAATATTGTCTTAATATATCCAGGAACTTTCCAGTGTTAAAATTAATTTTAGCATAATCATTTTGTGTTTTGATCATTTGGGAGCTTCTCCTCTTTACTCTAGTTATATATGACAAAATCCTAAGTGTTAAAAATCATTTTAAGGAAAAAATGAATTTGAAATTTGGGGGTCAATAGAAAAAGATTTTGTTAGCTGAATGAAGAAAATTGTATAAAAATTTTAATATTAAATTTGTTTTCAAAATGAAGTGGTAATTTAAATAAATTATATAGATATCTTTAAAGTTTTACTTTTGTTAGAAATTTTTCTCTAATCTAATATTTAAGAAGTATGTATAAATGCTATATTAAAAAATAGAAAAAGGAATACATGTTTTCTATTTAAAATTTACTTTAGAGTCCTTAAAATAGTCAGTCAGGGTTTTTGCATTATATGGAATTGAGTGAGTTGAATATATGTTAAAATGTTAAGATTTAGATATTTATGGTTTCTACAAATTGATGGTTGGTACTATAGAACATTATTTTGTTTATGGTAACATTTTATAGAAAAGCCTTTACCAGGGATTACAATTTTATTGATATTCATTTAGCAAAAGTACCATGTATCATTTCTGTGCCAAATCTGGTTGATACACATTTGAGTAAATCTCAGTTTCTCCACATGAGGAAACTTAAGGAACTTACACTCTGAGTCTACAGGAGAGACCACACACAAATGATTTAAATTAGAGCTGTGAACTTGTTTGAATCGGTTTAGTTATGACCATGAAACTAAATCAGTAGACTCAATATTTTAAAAGTTTGGGCAAAGCAGAATAATAACTGGAACAGGAAAATTAGAAACCCTGGAATAGGAAATTGGGGGGAGGTGTAGGAGTCTGATACAGGAGTTGGGATTATTGTAAGACTATGGAAAGTGACACACATTCAGAGCAGTGCATTTGGCTACCATTTTGAGCAGAGCACTGTTACTTCTGACTGCCTGTCAAGAGACTATGCAATGCAATGAGCTCACTGCCTTTGCTTTCTAAGAGGGAAATTGCATTTTTAACAAGACATTTTGACTGGTAATTTTCTACATTCTGACTAGTTTTGGTTTACCCACATTTCACAATTTTGGGTCCATTCTAGTTTCCCTTCTTGTTCTTGACTGAACTAGGCAAATCCAATTTTAAACCCTGATTAAAATTCAAGGTGATGTCTGCTATACATAAATGTATATGTATGTAGTAACATATGGTCTATGTTAGGTCAGGAAAGGCCATAAACCATAATTAACTTTGCCAAAGAGGTTTTACACAAGCTAATAAAAAAAGAGGTAGAGGTGGGATGTTTTAGACAAAGAGCAGTGGTAACTCTAGGGGTAAATTGTTTATAAGTTTAATAACTAGTTGCATAGGACTGGCTTGGAGGGAGAAGAGAAATGGTGAGATTTTTTGTCTCAGGTACTTTTGACATGTTATCAGGAGAGACCAGTACCTAGAGAAGTACATCATGCTTGGTAAAGTAGAGTGACAGTGAAAGAGAGGAATACAATCCACAAGATGGAATGGAACAGTGGCTGCAAAAATGGCCTCAGACATAAGAACAAATTGTAAAGGTGGCATAAGGCCTGGCGTTTTTTCGTTGTATTATACATAGGGTCATTATGAGTCAAAACCCATGCCATGACATTTAACCCCAACAGAAGCCCATATTTAGATGCACTGGTGTCTAACATTTAAGAGCAAGAATTTTTCAAAAAATTACATTTTCTCTGCAGAGTGCTCTTGAGTGACTCAATTATCGCTTTATTCTTGGTGTCTTTCAAGAGATTTTTTGCCTTCAAAAGAGTCCCATTCCCATTGGTCTGTTTGCTCTATTTCTTAATTGTGTCTTAGCTGTAGACTGAAATTGAGTTATAGGAAGAAGAATGTTCTGAAAAGGCATATTTTCTGGAATTGGCTTAATTATTCTACTGATAGCTATTGTATCACAACTGAATGGATTGGCTACTCAGGAAAAACTGCAAACAGGAAGAGTTTTAGGTCATCTTTCATCTGCATACTCTAATTGTATAGGAAATAGTGTGGTTTAAGAGGACACTTAAATTTCTAGTTCTGGTTTTATAATTAAGTCTCTTATGAATTTTTCAAGTTGCTTAACTTTTGCGCCTCTATATCTTTATCCATTTTTTAGAAATAATTAGTACAATTTCTTAACGTTGGCCCTATTGCCATTTGGATTTGATAATGTTTTATGATGGGAGCCTGTCCTGTCTATTGTGGGTTTAGCAGCATTCCTGGTCTCTGCACACAAGATTCCAATATTACTCCATTTCCAGTTGTGACAACCAAAAATATTTCTGAGAATTGACAAATGTTCCTTATAGGGCAAACTTGTCTCCAAGTTAAGAACCACAGAATTTTTCTAGACTCATAAAAAAGCAACTTGGAACGCCTATAATTTTATGAAAACTCTGTGGCTTGAATCTGTATCATAAATAGTATGCTTATGTCTGAACCGCAGTCATTTAGTCAAGTAAGCTAGTTTACTTCCCAGGGTAATGGGTGAAATTGAAGGAGATAATCATAACTTATTTTAAGGAGAAGTTCATGATAAAAAATGTGTCTTCTTTGTGGATTTACCCTTTTTTGAGTAATATATAAATTTCATTATAGATAAAATCTCAAGAAGTAAAATGATTATATGTCTTTGTGATTTGTCTAACACATATTTCTTAGACATATTTGTTTTGTAAGTTTGAGCATATAAGCAACTTTAGACTTTTAGCAGTTACAGTTTAATTTACTTTCCAGCTGTAGGTATATATCTTTCCCCAGGATTTAAATACAGATTTCAAATCAGGAAACTAGAGTTTTAGTTCTGTGATTAGGGTTATATGAATTATTTGCAATAGGAAAAGTTTATACAAGAAACAAACTTTGTTATTTTCTTTCTTCCTGTGTGGCTTGTTAAGTGTGTTATGGTTTAAACAAAAATGCATAGCATTTCGGATAATACTTATACAAAGGCTAACCAATATAATCTTCAAAGTGACATCTTTGCTCTTTAAGAGGTGCTGTAAAGCACATTTTCCAAATGCAGTGTGTCATTTACTTTCTTGAATGCTTCTTTCATGAGCATTGATTATGGATCCAAGTCAAATGAAATTCTTGAAAACAGATGTTGTCTGTTTACCCACGTGTGAGGATTTCGGTTTGCTTTACATCAAGTTGCAATCCTTACTTTGATCTTCATCTATTAAGTGCCTCAAGTACTCTTAGTATTCAGCAAATAAATTTATGTTATCTGTATTATCAAAAGTTGTTAATGATCGTTCCTTTAATACTGATCCCAAATTCTCCTAATTTAAGCTGTGGTATTTTCCAGTTACTTCATATGCATGTAAAGGGGGACAATGAATAAGGAAGAACTGAATGAAAAATTAGAGAAGAACTGGTGCATTTGAATTATGATGTTCGTGGAAAGTAGCATGGACTGCCAGAAGTACAAACAAATCAGTCTTGGAGGAAGTACAGCCAGAATGCTCTTGAGAAGTGAGAATGACGAGGCTGCCTCTCATTTACTTTGGACATGTTACAAGGACACAACAATCCCTGGAAAATACATCATGCTAAGTAAGGTAGAGAGGGTCATCAAAAAAGAAGAAAAAGATGCTCAAGAAGATAGATTGACACAATGGCTGAAATGATGGGCTCAAACATAACAATTGTAAGGATGGTGCAAGACTAGGCAGTGTTTTGTTCTGTTGTACATGGGTCACTATGAGTTGGAACCAACTTGATGCCAACTAACAATATCAACACCCAAGTGACTCTGTATTTAGTTGTCAGTTAGCCTAGAGGAGCTGGAAAAAAAATTATTACATAACTACACTGTGACCTTTGTTTTAGTTTTATTTATCCCCCTCCTCCCCTTTTTTTCTAAATCATTTTATTGGGGGTTCTTACAGCTCTTCCATACATCAGTTATATCAAGCATATTTGTACATATGTTGCCATCATCATTTCCAAAACATTTTCTACTTGAGCCCTTGGTATAAGCTCCTCTTTTTGCCTCCTCCCTCCCCGAGCTTCCCACCCTCGTGAATCCTTGATCAATTATATATTATTATTATTTCATATCTTACACTGCCCGTTGTCTCCCTTCACCCACATATCTGTTATTCATCCCTTTTAGGGGGTGGCTATATATCCAGCCTTGTGTGGGTTCTCCTTTCTCTCCCTTGCCCTCCCCAACCATACCCCTAGCTCAGTGGTTCTCAACCTGTGGGTTGTGACCTCTTTGGGGGTTAAACGTCTCTTTCACAGGGGTCGGTTGCTTCATAACAGTAACAAAATTACAGTTATGAAGTACCAATGAAAATAATTTTATGTTTGGGGGGGAGGTCACTACAACATGAGGAACTGTATTAAAGGGTTATGGCATTGGGAAGGTTGAGAACCACTGCCCTAGCTTTTCGAGACCTCTTATCTGTACGAATGTGTGTTGTTTGGTCTAGCCAGACATGTAAGGTAGAACTGGGTTATGACGGGGGGTGGGGGTGTGAAGTATTCAGGAACTAGAGAAAATATAAGTGATTCATTGGTGGTATACTCCACCTTGGTTGAATCATCCCTTC